TCTTTTTTATCATGGCTTTCAGATAGTCCAATAATTTTTAAATTCTCTCTCCTGGATCTATTTTCCAGGTCAGTTGTTTTTCCAATGAGATATTTCACATTGTTTTCTAATTTTTCATTCTTTTGGATTTGTTTACTGTGTCTTGATTTCTCATAAAGTCACTAGCTTCCAATTGCTCTATTCTAATTTTTAAGGAAGTATTTTCTTCAGTAATCTTTTGGACTTCCTTTTCCATTTGGCCAATTTTTCTTTTTAGGGCATTTTTCTCCTCATTGGCTTTTTGGACCTCTTTTGCCATTTGGGTTAGGCTATTTTTTAAGGTGTTATTTTCTTCAGTATTTTTTGGGTCTCCTTTAGCAAGCTGTTGACTTGTTTTTCATGATTTTCTTGCATCACTCTCATTTCTCTTCCCAGTTTTTCCTCTACTTCCCTTACTTGCTTCTCAAAATCCCTTTTGAGCTCTTCCAAGGCCTGGGACTGATTCATATTTTTCTTGGAGGCTTTGGATGTAGGAGCTTTGACTTTGTTGTCTTCTTCTGGTTGTATATTTTGATCTTCTTTTTCACCAAAGTAAGATAATATAGTCTGACTCTTTTTGCACTGCTTGCTCATGATCCCAGCCAATTACTTGAGTTTTAAACTCTTTGTTAAGGTACGAATCTGCTTCCAATGTGGAGAATGTACTGTCCCAAGCTTCAGGGGTTTGTACAGCTGTTTTCAGAGATACTTGTAGGGACCTGTAAATTTTCAGTTCTTCCAAGGTGGTATGATAAGGGGCGAGGTGTTTACTCCTTTCCTGGCCTGTGACCACAAGTACTCCTTTCTGTCCTGTAATTGTGAGGAGGGGTTCCTCTTCACAGCTACTACAAGTTCCACCACACCAGTGCTCCTCCTCACCCCAGCACTGCCACCCAGAACTGTGACCCAGATCCAAACACGGGAAAAGCAAGAGATTCCTGCCTCAGCACTGGCAAAGAGATCCCTGCAATCCCTCTCTGATCAGCCACTGGATTCCCCCTCAGTCTGTGGGCCGGAAGCTTGGGAAGCAGCTGCCCCCCCCAGAGCCATGCTCTTGGGGAATGGAGCTGAAACCCCGCCTTCCTTTCTCAGCACCAACAGAAACAGACTTTTCCCACTGACCTTCTAAGTTGTCTTTGGCATTGGTGGATTGAGGAGTCTGGAAACCTCCACAGCTGCCCACGATTCAGTCCTCTGAGACCTGCTCCAGGTTTGCTGCGGCGCGCGCTGTGCTCCCAGCCTGGCGCAATACACCTTTCTGATCAATCATCCAGGTTGTCTTGGGCTGAAAATTTGTTTCATTCTGTCTTTTGCGGGGTCTGCTGCTTCAGAATTTGTTTAGAGCCATTTTTTTTATGAGTATTTGGAGGGGTTTGGAGGAGAGCTCAAGCAAGTCACTGCTTTCGCTAAGCCATCTTGGCTCCGCCCCCCTAGAGTATTTTTTTTTAATATGACTATAGATAGCTCTAATTTCTTCCTCTGAAAACTGCCTGTTCATATCATTTGACCATTTATCAATTGAGGAATGACATATTCTTATAAATTTGACTCAGTTCTGTATACATTTTAGAAATGAGGCCTTATCAGAGACAATGGCTATAAAAATTGTTTTCGGAGATTTCTGCTTTCTTTCTAATCTTGGTTGCATTTTTTTTTGCTCAAAAACTTTTTAACTTAATGTAATCAAAATTTATTTATTTTGCATTTCATAATGTTCTCTCTCTCTCTCTCGTTTGATCATACATTCTTTCCTTTTCTATAGATCTGACAGGTAAACTATTACTTGTTCTCCTAATCTGCTTATAGTATCAACCTTTATATCTAAATCATGTACCCATTTTGACCATATCTTGGTATAGGGTGTGAGATGTTGGTCTGTGCCTAGTTTCTGCCATACTATTTTCCAGTTTTCCCAGTAATTTTTGTCAAACAGTGAGTTGTTATCCCAGAAGCTGGAGTCTTTGGGTTTATCAAACAGTAGATTACTGTAGTCATTTGCTACTATGTCTTGTGTTCTTAACCTATTCCATGGATCCATTACTCTACTTCTTAGCCAGTACCAAATAGTTTTGATGAATAAATTCAGATGTGAGTGAGGTTCAAGCGTTGCTGATCTCCCTCTCCCTATTTCCCCTTCCATTATAAAATCTCTTACTTGCAAATCTCTTCTGTGTAAGATAATTTTCCCTATTCTTCCTCTCCCTTTCCCTTTTTCCTGGTAGATCTCTCTTTCTCAACCTTCTATTTACTTCTGAAATCATCTCAATAGACTCACACCAATGAGTTCTAAGTAAACTCCTAATTGCCTGAATTCTGATAAAGTTGTTGGGAATGTAAGCAGTTTAACCTTGTTAACTTCCTCATGATTTCGTCATTCATGTTTACCTTTTTATGACTATCTAAAGTCTTGTATTTGAATGTCAAATTTTTCTATTCCAGCTCTGGTATTTTTCATCAGAAATGCCTGAAAGTACTCTAATTCATTAAATATCTTTTTTTTTTTTTGCCCTGCAGGATTATACTCATTTTTGCTGGGTAGGTTATTCTTGCTTGTAATCTTAGTTGTTTTGGCTTCTGGAATAGCACATTCCAAACCCTCTGCTCCTTTATAGTAGTAGTTGCTAAATCTTTTTATCCTGACTGTGACTCCATGGTGTTTGAATTCTTTCTTGTAAACTGCTTGCAACATTTTCTCCTTGGGAGTTTTCATTTTGGGATCTCTTTCAGGAGGTGATCAGCAGATGTTTTCAATTTTTATTTTGCCTTCTGGTTCTAAGATATCAGGGCAATTTTCCCTTATAATTTCTTAAAATATGATATCTATGTTCTTTTTGAGATCATGGCCTTCAGATGGTCCAATAATTTTAAAATTATCTCTCCCTAATCTATTTTCCAGGTCATTTTTTTCCCTATGAGATAGTTCATATTATTTTCTATTTTTTCCATTTTTTGGCTTTGTTTTGTTGTTTCTTGTCTCATGGAGTGATTAGCTTCCATTTCACCAATTCTAATTTTTAGGGAATTATTTTCTTCATGAGGTTTTGTGCCTCTTTTGCTTTTTGGCCAATTCTGATTTTAAGGAGTTATTTTCTTTAGTATTTTTTGTGCCTTGTTTACCAGACTGTTAATTGTCTTTTTTATATTTTTTTTGCATCATTCTTGTTTCTTCCCCCAATTTTTCCTCTACTGTTATTATTTCATCTAAAAAAATTTTTTTTCCCCTATCTCTCTTGCTCTCGTTGAGCCCTTCTAGGAATTCTTGTTGGGCTTGTGTCCAATTTGCATTTTTCTTTGAGGCTTTGCTTGTAGATGTTGTCATGTCATTAACTTCTTTTGAGTTTGTCTTCAGCTTCCCTGTAGGCATAGTAGCTTTTTATCATCATATTCTTTTTCTGTTGTTTGCTCATTTTTCCAACCTATTTCTTAACTTGGGATTTTATGGTACCATTCGGCCCTGCATGCATGTGTATATGTATGTGACTATGCTGAGCTTCAGGCTTTTTTGCCCTACTAACAGTGTTTTCAGTGCTTCCAAAGTGGGGTGATCTGGGGACACTGCCCTCCAAGTCTGAGCTTTGGTCTTTACCCAGTAAGACCCCTGCTTCTTTGTGACCACAATTCCTCTCTGTCCTGGAACTGGGACTGGAAACTAGGGCTCTTGCTCCCTTGTAACTGCAAGCGTTCCTCTCCACTCTAGAATTGTGACCCAGAATTGAGTAATGGACAATGTTGTTGCCAGATGGCACCTGGTCCTGCATCCAGTGCTACCACAGGGTTCCCCAGAATCTCTTTCTGACCAGGAAGTCAATTCTCTTACTGTCTCTGGGTACAGATACTGCTACACTACTTCAGGGGCCCACAGCTGGTACTGTAGCCTCTATGCTCCTGGCCAGCCCCTGTCTCAGGACCACAGATCTCTCCTTCTGAGCTCCTAAGTTTTCCTGAGCTGGAAAAATGTCTCAACTTGACCTTTTATTGGTTATGTTGCTTTAGAATTCAATTTGATGTGTTATTTTAAAGTCATTTAGAGAAGAATGTTAGGAGAGATCAGCTAGAATGTTCTTTACTCTGCTTTTCCATCAGCCTCTTTCTGAATCATCAAGTAGGATCCATTTCTGAGGAGGCAACACAAGAGACATGCTTTCTCTCTCAAAGTACTTTGTATTTAACTACTATGTATATATTTGCATTTATTCACTTTATACCACATGTATTTATATATGTATTTGCTGTCTTTTCCATTAGAATGTAAGCTCCTTGTGAGAAGAGATAGTTTCATTCATTATACTTGCATTCCCAGTACCTTGCACAGTGCCTGACACAAAGTATGTCCTTGATGGCTCTATCATTGATAGGGCTCAACAGTCAACAAAGAAGGGAACAGTAAAGAGATTGTACATCCTCATCCCTGGGCAGCCAGAACTGGAAAAGGTAGTCTTAATTAAGGTTCAAATTCCACATATTTTAGCCTTCATATAACTGAACAAAAATTTATTAAGTACTTATATGTGCTTACAAAGATGATAAGACATGGCCCCTGTCTTCTAGGAACTTATATAAGATGTGCACTCAAATAACTATAGTACAAAATAGAATTTAATTATAAAACTCCACTAATGGCAAACAAAAACAGCAAAAATATTACTTGTTAAAAGCAGCTTATGTTCAAAGGGATATTCCATTGAACCAAAACTAGGAGCTTTTAATTTCAGTTAGAAAGATTCTTCTTCCCTGAAATTGTCAAAGGAGATTTTATAATTTTATGTTAAATATGGTTAGAAGATATATGCTTCAAATACTTAAATAATATTATGGAATGGGAATGTATATTATTAAATAATAAACAAATAATGATAGGAAAATAAAAATTACTTGGCCACATAATTGACACAAATGATACCAGAGCCTACAAATATGCATGTATATTCTTCTGTGTATATTTATATTAGCAACCTACGGTAATTGAATAACTCTAAAGGTACCTTCCATTAGGCATCTCTGGTCTTTGCAATATAGTCTTTAGAGATTCTCTTCTTGCTTGGTTGGTTTCTTTATCCACATATAACACTACAAGAGGAAAAAAAAAACTGCAATCAAAAACCACTCAGGGATGTATGTTAATATTCAGCCATTTCTATATTTTTATAAATATTTATTTTTAAAGAGACACATGATAAAAGCAAGTTGTACTATGTTACAGTATACTTGGAAAAAGAAAGCTGCTCTGGAAACCAGAATCAAATCTGAATAGTCATGTGATCTAATGTCATGTCACTGGCAGGTTTATGTGCACACTGTCAGAAAAGATACAAGCAACATCTAAGTGTGCCACATTGCTGTCATTGCCTGTTAATGGCACTGGCAGTCATGATGGTAAAAGCCAGCGGCCTTTATTGCTTTGTATTTGAGGGGATTTACTGCATTTTCTTGTGCCCAAGAAGCGAGTGATAATGATAATGTATGGCAGAGTGCTTGTCTTTTCTGACAGGCTCAGTAATTTAATCCTCCTCTCCTGCCACAACATGCAATAACAGAGGCATCTAGTGCACTAGGTTTAGGAAATCCAAGGGCTGACGTTTACTGGGGGTGAGAATGAGGGGAGGAACAAAAAAACGGGTCAGGGGAGGGGAGCAAAAGAAGATATTTTAGTATTTAGGGATTTGTCTTTTGTTTTTTAGACAAACGTCTAGCATAAATGATAAGGTCACAGTAGATCACAGTGACCAACCTAAACTTCAGTCAAGATGATTAGGATGGATAAATTACTGTATTGATACTTATTCCATCAATAATTTGGAAAAACCAAATAAAAAAGTGCTATCTTGGATTTTTGAACCTGAAAATTTTTTCACTTCAATTTAGGGTTCATTTTCTCTAGATAATTTTTAGTTCATATCTTAGTCCTTAAAGACATTTTTCTGATACCATTTTTTGAGGAAAAAGCTCCCCTACAATTAGAGATTGCTCCTGATCGAAGGTATATGAACAATCTGAGATACCAGGATAATTCTAAAGGCACATCTTTGCTCTCCATTAGGAGAAAGTATACTTCATTACTGAGAATATGTTTTTTTCCTAGGCAATATAATTTTTATTCCAAATAGTGCTGCCATCTATCAGCTTCATGGTTCATGAGGTAGTCACTTAAACATCCTAGATAACCAAAATTAAGTAGCCTCAGTAGCATGTAAATAGCTTGTTTTTAAGATAGTATCTCTGAGATGAGTAATTAAAAATCATAACAGAGTTGGGATTTATGGTATCGGTGGAATAAACAGGATACCTATAGCCTATAATTCTGGCTTATCTGCTGGTTTCTGAGTTATTCTGGCTACTTCCTTTGACAACTTTCATCTCCATTTTCTGATTTCTAAAATAGGGATAACATGAAAGGACCAATTTTAGAGGGTTTACTAAAAAAGAACGGCTATTAAGAATGAACAATAACCATCACCAACAATAAGCTATGGCTTAAAAGCATTTTGTAAATAGAAGTACAGAATTTTAATACAATGTTCTATGTATCCCCTTGTAACTTGATTATGTTATTTTCCTTCTTTCAGTAGGCAATAGGGTTAAGTGACTTGCCCAGGGTCACACAGCTAGTAAGTGCTATATATATGAGGCCGGATTTGAACTCAGGTCCTCCTGAATCCAGGGCCGGTGCTCTATCCACTGTGCCACCTAGCTGCCCCTTGATTATGTTATTTTCAAGCATGTTCTGGACATTACTTTGTTTCTTAAAGGTTATTACATCAAATACTGACTTTCTGTTTTGGCCTTCCTGAATCAGGAAATGGTTGACCATAAATAGCTATAATTTTTCTATATCCTGATAGTCCATCAGAGGAATGTCATGTAGTTTAAGGGTAATTATTAGACCAATAATAAGAAATTAATCTAAAAATCTACATCTAATTTAAATAAAAGTAAATTTTGCCAGTCAGTCATTACCTAGGGCAAACTAGTCAGTGTAAATCAATCCTTATACTTCTTTTCAATTGACCAAGAAAAATTCATTTATTCAACAAATATTTCCTTATACTATGACCCCAGACTTTCTTTGACTTTCATAAAAATATAGCAAACTCTGTTAGAAACTGTATGGCAATATCAGCTCTGGGATATTTTAATTCCCTCTAACTGAAATGCAACAGGAAGCAGACTGACACTTCTCACACACATCAGTTGGACTGGATGTTCCATTAAGAATTCCAACTCAGACTCATAGTTCTGACCACTATAATCATCTTGTACTCATGGTCTACTGCCTTTGATTCAGCTACTTAGATCTTGCTGTACTAACTGACAGTAATTAATTACTTGTATCCGTTTCTGGAGATGATCCAACAACTTTCCAAACTAGTTCTCCTAAAGACTTTAAGTTGACATAACTCTCCCTTCTTCTTTTCCCCACTTAGAAAATACGCTGTTTAACTCTTCTACTTGTCTGAATTCTGCATAGGCTCAGTAACTAGATAATAGTTCTTGGGTTATTTCACTCTGGGAGAAGTGGGTTACATATATTCTTGTCTTTATTATGTCTTTATTATGACCCTATGCAGATCTTCAAGCTTCTCAATTCCACAAATTTCACAAAAAAGGTATTAAATGTTTCCTGTGTATGAAGTATTATGCTAGAAGTGGGTAACTGTAATACACAGATAAATATAACACATAATATTCCACAAGTGGTCTAGTTAGAAAGGTACAAATCAAAGTGCTATGTGAGGTCCAAAGAAGGAGGCTGTTAACTTGAGTGAGGTCAGGGAAGTGTTCTTTGAGGAGGTGATATCTAAGTTGGCTTTTAAAGGACTTGTAATGGGGTGGAGCCCAGATGGTAGATTAGAGGCCAAACTCAGCCAATCTTTCTCAACATTCCCTTCCAAACCACTTTAAAATCAATTTGATGGGGCAGCTAGGTGGTGCAGTGGATAGAACACTGGCCCTGGATTCAGGAGGACCTGAGTTCAAATCCAGCCCCAGACACATAACACTTAACTGGCTGTGTGACCCTGGGCAAGTCACTTAACCCCATTGCCTAGCCAAAAAAACCCCAAAAAAATAAAATCAATTTGAATTTTGGAATGGCACAGCCAACAAAAGGTCAGGGTGAGACATTCTCTCAGTTTAAGACACTCCAGAGGTCGGAAGGACAGGTCTGTGACCACACCAAAAACTTGCAGACCCCAGAACCAGTTCTGGAAATAACAGTTAATAGAAAGCCTGAAGTTTGGGACAGTACCTCCTCACTCTAAGGTGAAAAGAGTCCAGTTTTAACATAAAGTTCAATGTCAAGAAATAGGTTTGAAAAATCAGCAGGCAAAATAAGCAAACAACAAAAGAGCTTGACCCTAAAAATCTACTACGGTGGGCAGGGAAGACCAAGATACAACCTCATGAGAAGACAACAATGTGAAAACAGCTACAATCAAAGCCTCAAAAAAAAAATGCTAATTAGACCTAAGTCCAACAAGAATTACTGGAAGAGTTAAAAAAGGTGACAGCAGTACAAGAAAAAATGAGAAAAGAAATGAGAGTGATGGAAGAAAATTATGAAAAGAGAATTAATAGCCTGGTAAAAGAGGCACAAAAAATACTGAAGAAGCACTTTAAAAAATAGAATTGGCCTAATGGTAAAAGAGACACAAAAAATTCACTGAATAAAAGAATTCCTTAAAAAATCAGAATTGGCAAAATGGAAAAAGAGGTACAAAAACAAAGTTTACTAAAGAAAACAATTCTTTAAAAATTAGAATTAGGCAAAAGGAACTGAGACTTCAAGAAACAATAAAACAAAGAATAAAAGAATAAAAGAATAAAAGAATAAAAAAAAGAATAAAAAAAGAATAAAGAATAAAAAGAATAAAAAGAATAAAAAAAAACCCCAAGAAAATGTGAAATGTCTCACTGGAAAAACAACTGACATGGAAAATAGATCAAGGAGAAAAAATTTAAGAATTTTTTGACAACCTGAAAGCAGCAATTAAAAAAAAGTCTAGACATCTTATTTCAAGGAATTATCAAGAAAACTGCCCTGATATCTTAGATCCAGAGAGTAAAATTGAAATTGGAAGAATTCACTGATCACCTCCAGAAAGAGATCCCAAAGTAAAAACTCCCAGGAATACTATAGCCAAATTCCAGAGCTCCCAGGTTAAGGAGAAAAATATTGCAAGCAGCCAGAAAGAAACAATTCAAATATTGTGTATACACAGTCAAGATCAAACAAGATTTAGCAGCTTCCACATTAAAGCAGCAGAGGGCTTGGAATATGACATTCTGGAAGGCAAAGGAGCTAGGATTATAAGCAAGAATAATTTACCCAGAAAAATTGAGTATAATCCTTTGGGGGAAAATGGACATTTAATGAAACAGAGGACTTTCAAACATTTTTAATGAAAAGCCCAGGGCTGAATAGAAAATTTGACATTGAAACACAAGACTCAACAGAAGCACAAAAGGTGAACATGAAAATTATAAGAGACTCAATAAAATTAAACTATATTTCTATGTAGGAAGATAATAATGTAGTTCCTAAGAACTTTATCAGTATTAGGGCAGTTAGAAGCAGTCTACATAGACTTAGGGTATAGCTGTGAGTCAATTATGTTGGGATGATCTTACAAAAAAAATGAAGGGGTGAGAAAGATGGATACCCTGGGAGAAAGGGGAAAAGAGACATAGTGGGGAACATTATCCCACATAAAAGAGGCATGCAAGGAAGAGCTTTTACAGTGGAGAGGAAAATGGGTAGGGTTGGTGGGCAATGCTTAAATCTTTCTTGCTGGAATTGGTTCAAAGAGTGACTATATGTGTATGTGTGTATATATATATATATATGTGTGTGTGTGTGTGTGTGTATATACACATACACATATATGATATGCATACACAACACACATATATGTATATACATACATACACATATATGCACATATACATACTGACACATATATACATACACATGTATATGTACATACACCCATCTATATCTACACACACACACACACACACACACACACACACAGAGGTGGGTGTAAAAATCTATCTTCTCCAATATGGAA